TTGCCTTCCTGTCTTCCTTCACAGGAAAGCAGCCAAGCCCCTTGATGGATAACCCAGCAGGTCCATTCTCCAACTCCCTTTGGAAGCTGCTGTTCAGGTTTTGTGCTTCCTCAAAAAACAAGTGTCTAACTTTCTCTCAATCCCAGGCTGCTCTTCCCCCTTTGGCGCAGTGCAGAGCCTGGTGCCTGCTCCTGCCAGAGACCCAGCACAGTGGTATGGTGATCTCTACAAAGCTCTACACTACCCAGCAGAGGGAAGTGATGAGTAGACAAGGGGGTTCCCAGTCTAATTGCCCTGTGTTTAAATTAAGAGGCAGCTTTCTGGGGGCTTCTCTCTTTTTTTGGGCTTTAGTTTTGCTATTTCTGGTGATACCAAAGAGAATTAATAGTGAAGAGAAAGACAGTTCATCAGCAGCTTTATAGCACTGTATTTCCCCCCTTTCTGTTGGTTTATGTTTCTTCTCAGCTCTGTCAGAGACCAAGAGGCATCTTGCGCCTGGTCACAGCCTGTAGATTAAAGTGTGAGGAGGACACAAAGTGTTGGCTCATTCCTGGCTGCAAGCCCAGACTCACTGCTGAGCCAAGAGGGGCAGACATTTGACTAGAAAATGCCGTGAGTGCAGTTATCACCAGAAAGGTTCATTCCTCCTGTTTCCTGTTGGTAGCATGTGTGCTTCAGTTGGGAAGTTACAGGGATTTTACCAGAAATGAGTTTTGGATCACAAACTGATATCCAGCATCAGAAGCCTCCGGCAGCACCAGCTTCCAGCTGTACCCAGTCCTGATCTGCCCTGGCTGCATTACCCATAGCCAGTCTCACATCTTGTGCTGACCATCAAGGGACCCCCATCCATTGATAATTAACTCTGCAGACTTCACAAAACTGGACACTTGCCCGTACTCTTAAGGAGTTGACTTTCTAAGTGTTCCTCAGATTACTTTTACCAAGGATCTCTGTGGCTTGGTTGTCCAGCTGGCCAAACTCCTCAGGCCATTAGTTGCTAATGTCTGGAGAAATAAGAGGCCAAAGGGAAATGCAGATTGCAGGTAGCATTTGTGTTCCAAAGCGAATCTTGTGAGAAATGTTACTCCTGGAAGCAGCCAAGGCCTAAGCTCCTGTTTTCTAACACATTGCCAGCTTGAGTTTTCCTAAGAAAATTTTTCCCCATTTGCCTCCACTTTGAACCCCTTCCCCTGCCCTCAGGTTCTGTGTGTACCCTTTTGCTCTTTTCCTCTCCTTCCCTCTTTTCTCCCTATCTCCCTCTACCCAGCTCAGCCCTCTGACAGCTCTGGATGGGGAAGAACAAGAGGTGCCCAGCAAGATGCAGGTAGGAGGATGTTCAAAGGTGTAGTAAGAAAGAATAACATCAGGGAGAGGAAACAACCTTGAAACAACCAGAGAGGTAAAATAGGTGGCTGGGTCAAGCAACAGGAATATGAAAGACAAACTTGTTTGAGGCGGAGACATTGCACTGGATGATAGTTCAACATCAGGTGTGGATCCCATGGACCAGCAAAAGAGCAAAGRAAGAATAAATGTGCTAAGGGATAAAGGAAGCTGTAGAGAATCATGTGGGGTGTCCCCAGGCCTTCTTGCTCACCTTTCAGGAAAAACATCTGTCCCASTATTGATGACTGATGCTGTTTCTTGGCAGTTGCCGGCTTCAGTTTTTCCATGACTCCCAACCCATGTCTGCCAGATCCACAGCAGAGTGATAGAGACACAAAGCTGAGACTAGAGGAATTATAATTGCACACTGATTACAAGATCCTTCTGCTGGGCCAGAGCACACTGGAGAGCCTGGTACATCACATCCTTTCAGCCTGGGATGTTATTACCTGTTACCCAGGATGTACACCACTTCTGTTTTACATCCTGGTCAGAAGGTTTCCGCCCCAGTGGAGCACGCAGGGAGCCCAACACTTTCTCCTAGTGATGCAGTAAGGTCTTGGTTTCCCTGTAAAGCCTGAGCTAGATTCCAAGATTTATCTTCCAATTGTCTTGATGTGGTCAGAAATTGYTGCAGTACAGATTTTCAGAAAGAAATACTGAAGTTAAATGCATGAATACTGAAGTACTAAGTAGAGACCTGACACCTTATTTCTATTAATAAAACCTAGAAAGCAGGCAGCCTACAGTYAATACCCTTAAAATTAAACCATTCTAAAGTAGGTATGAAAAGATTCTCAGAAAGCTATTCTAGGACACTTCCCCTTTTTCCTCTTTGTGTATAGGTTCTGGYATTTAAAGAGAAACCTGCAGCAAACTGTGATGTTTCTTGTGACTCAGATGACGGGCAGCTAAAATCCACCACAATCTCATTTGTGAAAATAGCTACATTCCTGTAAACAAGGAAGATTCAAGGCAAATTGGTTTCTTTAAACCAAAATGTAAACCTGGGTGTTTATGGTGAGATCTGGGCTTTCTGTAATTTATCTGAAGGATACTATAAAATAAAAGATATTGATTGAAAAAAAAAATTAGGTTTTTTTTTTTTTTTTTAACTAAGAAGTGTAGGGGTTTTTCTGCAAGCTTTTTGTTCCATCTTAGCCTTTCTTGTACAATTTCAAGTGCTCTTTTACTAGATAAAGCTGCCTTTTCCTTCTTTGTCCTTAGGGTGGTTAAGGCCCACAGCTTCTGACATGTTAGGGAATTTAAAACTCTGTTTATATTGYGTATGGGTCTTAGAATAAGGATTCTTTCAGGCTTCCCAGAAATTCAAGTGACTTTTCTCAAAGTTGAGCAGACTACAACAGAGTCCATCCASAAAGGGTTGGACAAGTGTTCAGTGCTCCTTTCACACACAGCTTTTTGTGTGAAAGATGAAAGCAGCAGAGATATGAGAAGGCCCTTTGTATGGCTTCCAAAAATATGAGCAATTTCTGGTGTACTGARAGTGAAAACAAAAATACACTTGATYTGTATCTGCCTGGTTTGATAGTCTCATTTGTGAAAGAGAAAATTGCAATCAAATAGTGCAATTCTCTTGTTTCAACTAATTTCCAGGGGCTCAGTGCTGAAAGCTGGATGAAAAACAACGGGTTATATTTTCTTCTATGTCTGATTTAATAAAAAAGTTAATTGGTGTGGTATTTAGATGAATCATTCCCTCAGGGTCATGCAAAAGAGGATCGAAGAATGATGCTTTCAAATGTCTATCACCAAAACAAAGTTTCTTTTCACTGTACAAGTTTAGTCCCATGCCTCTGCCAGCACTAGTTTCAGAAGAATATTCTTCCTATTTCAGCCAATGCCTATAAAATATCTAAGGCCAACATTTCAGTGACATTTCAAAGTCACATCTTCAGCCAGAGCTGTTGGGGCCAATTCCCTTGCATATTACTGCTCTCTTAGAATCAGGAGCTCAGTACTTGGGCAGAGAAACATACCAACACAGGACATCTCTGAAATAGCCTGACATGCCAAAACAGAAACATGGGCATTTTATACAGCCTGAAGAACCTTCATTATATATGTACATATAAATATATCTATATAAAAGTTATACCAACAGTTAAAATGGACACTTCTTATGAATTAAAACCTTTACCCAAACTGGCTAATGTCACAGTCAAAAGGTCCCAAAGCTGAGAGATGCAAGCTACATTTGCTTTATAGAAGAAATTACTTACCCAGAACCAGTTTTATTTAAGTAAGAGGCAAGCAGGAGGATGGCATTCCCGCTTCCCCTCTTTCCAGCCATTAGGAGAAATAATACTCTGCACGAACACTGCTTGTTCCTGGGCTGGACAAAATGCAGTGACACAATGTGGCCAAAGGCAGAGTTTGGTGAGACTGACAGCTGCCCAGCCTCAAAACCGACCAAAATCCTTGGCACTTTTTTTTTTTTTTTTGGGTGGTGGCAGTAGTAGCTCAGAATGTTCCAGTAGAATAATTTTGAAAATATGGTCTGTTTCCATTTACTCACAAAGTTAACCTGCTTCATATCRCTTGTATTGGAGTCTATGTCACTTAAATCTCCTACCAGTTTTATTTCTATTTCTCATCTCAAGTGCCACACCAACCTCACCTACAGCCTCCACCTGCAGCCATGCAGGGCCACAGCAGCCAAAARGTGTTGGGGATCAAACACACCCATTTATGAAAATCACACATTTATTAAAATAAATACTAGGTATCTGTAGAAACCCATTCAAATATAACCTCCAAGGAATTRCTTACAAATTGTTAACAGAGGTAACTGGACGGACAAACACAAAATAATCACAAAGGAACCTCATAACAACAGTTAGGATCTTCATCATCCATAGTCAAAACTTYGAATCCCCTCAGTCATGCTTTTGTTTATTCCACAATTTCTATTTTGTATTCTATTTCTGTAATTGTATTTCTATTTCTATTCCACAAATACTATTTTGTATTATCCCCCCCACCCCACCTATCAGCCAGTTAATTATCCACAGTCTGTATTTTTGCCTTCATTTCATTGCTATATGAGGCAAAACACCATAGCATTTTATGGCACTGAATCTCAGTAGATGGCTCTGTATAGCATGAAGGTAAAACACGCACTGGTTTTAAGTGTTCTGTGTCTGGATATCAAGTTCTCATTCTGATACCATGAAAGAAAAATAAATCTTGTACAGAGTTTTACWTGAAAGCCATTGTATCCCTGTATTTCACCCAGCTGCTGGACCTATCATGCTTGTAAGCAGAAACCTCTAAGAGCTTAAAAATTTTTAAATTCAGCTAAAAAGTAAAAGAAATACAAACTCACACATAAACAAATACTTTAGTGACTCCAAGCTCCTGCTTTCCCCCTCTCCAGGTGATCAGCTTGTAGAAAGCACCAGGTAATCTCTGCCATTTTCCTGGGTTTGAAAAGGTTTCTAACTGGCCTTGTGCTTTTCTCCGTTCCCTCAGGAAATCCTTTCCTTTACACATGTCCTAACTCCCTTTTTGTGTAAGAAACTTGTTTCTCTTTTTTTTTTTTTTTTTAATTTTTACTTTTTGTTTTAATTGTAAAAAACACAACAAACCAAACAACAAAACCTTAGACTAAACATTAGCAGAAACCTCGTGTTTAAACTCAAATGAACTGCTCTAAATCGCAGGTGCAGACTCTGCAGATGGCAATGTTTGAGGCCACACAGCCTGAGAAGGGCATCAGGGGCCCTCCACAAACCCAGGAAAAAACCTTCTTCTCCCCTGGCCTCTTCCCTCATGGAGGAAGAAATGAAGCTGCAATAGYGGAAAAGTTTGGACAAAACATTACTTCCTCCTTTAATAATTAGGGGGCTTAGGAGAAAAAAACCCCAAGTGTGACAGCTGGTTTCCCTTTCTGCCAACTCACCACCTGTGCTATTGCTCTGTGTTAGGGGGTCCTAATAAAAGCATTTTATAGAAAAGGCTGGGTTTACTCATTCTCAACTCACCCACTTGTTTTCATTTTAGTTCACTTGGCTTTTTGACTACAGCACAGTGATTCGTGTGGGACGCCCATTTGAAATAGGTGGATGAGGAAAAGCCAGATTACATTTKCTCTGGGAAGCCAGAAGGAGAGGAAACAGCCTCTCTGGTGGCTCCCCACAAGGCCAGCGTCAGCCAGGTGGGCTCATTTCTCCTTCCCTAAATCCACAGGACTTCATGAGCACATGGTGCAGTTCAGGGAATTACAGGAGATTACAGCTCAGACCTGACCTCCTGGTACAAGCAAAGSATTTTGAGCACAGGGAACACTCCTTGCCCTGAACTGGTATTTATCTGCCCAGATGCAAATAAATAAAGACSCCACCCCCTCAGGCCTACCAGCCTCCTGCTTCCCACTGCCCTCACCTGCCACTACACCAGGACAYCAAAAAAATGCACTGGGCAACCTCCTACCCCTGCAACTGCCCTATTATTGCTCTGCTTCCTCCTGCAGGCGGRTGGGATGCCAGGAAACACTGGCAGCTCTGATTGATCAAGGACATTCAGAAGGGGGCTGAGGAAAACACTGAGAAAGAAGGAAACATCTGTGTGCCTTTTGCATTACTTTGCAGGAAAGGCTGGTGGAACTCAGACTTGGCACATCCTAATTCCTCAGGACTCCTGACTTGAAGCCTGGTGCTCCTGGCACCTGGGTTACATGTTCAGGCTGGCTGCAGTCTTGGCCTCACCTCTTGTGTCCTTTAGGAAACAAGTTCAACACCTGAAGTTCAGAGCAGCATGCTGGGCTGTTCCATGGATTTTCTGCAAGCCCAGCTCCTCATTATGGGCTCCTTTGGTCTGTCAGCAATACTTTCTAGGCCAGCAGCCTTACAAAATGCTGCCTTTTGTAAGACAGACCACCCCCCATACACTTCTGAGTTTGCAATGTTAAAATATTAAGAAGTAAAAACAGTGTTCAGACCCCCCAAAAATACAAAGCACTATATGGATCCATACAATCAGCCTGAGTTTCTAATAAATACTGTACATTTTTTAAATACAAAACAGAATATTATAGYGTAACAAAATAAATATCTATTATAAATTGTCCTTTTTTGTATTTCTCTTGGAGAAAGTCACAGGAAGTTTCCTTGGGAGCTTGAGGTGCCATTTGAAAAGTTTCTCACTTGCATATGTAGGGTGAGCAGCTTCTCAGGTGTTCAGTGGTGCACCAAGGTTGGGGGACATCACAGGAACTCATGTGCCTGCAGCTCCRTACTGCCTGCACTTCTTGGCCTTGGTACAGACAGGAAGTACCTGATGAAAAAGAGTTGTTGTGTTTATTTCTTCAAAATATGTAGATGTTTTAAGTGTGAAGGTAAAGATCCTGGATGTTTGTATTGCCAAATGGGTCCTTGCGTCTCTCTGTGAGGGAGTCTAAAGTTTCGCCCTTGYAATCCCACCGGCAGTCTTCAGCTTGGACCTAGAGTTATAACACCCATAGAAGACATGGTACATTTCCTCCACTGCTTCTTTTTCTCCAAAATTCTCATTAAAAGTCATGGTTCACACKCTAGGTATGTACTGTAAGGAGATGAAGAGCCTTCACAAAAATGGATTTTTGGAAACAATGCCACTTCACTCAGTTTACCCCCAGCTCAAGGTTGTATCCTGCACCCCTGCACTGGGATGGCTTCAGTGGACAGCCAGCATTGCTTCAGCCCCTCTGTATTGTGACACCCCGGGCTTTCCTCACAGAGGTGAGCTTTTCCTCTGAGACCACATTTTGTTTGAGACACATCCTCAAGCTGCTGCCTCTGTGGGCTGCGCCGGCTGTACAGAGGAAGGTTATTTTAGAAGCTACAGATCAGTGCAAGGGTCTGGCCACTGCTTGCACAGCTGTTTTGTGCATAAATGTAGTAGCAGAGTGATGCTTCCTCCACAGCACACCTTGTCATTGACACAGTGAATGTTCTCTAGCTACCAGCAGCTCTCGGGCACCTGCGGGTTGGCTCTGCAAAATCAGGTTTYTGCTTCCCAGCTGTCTGGCTGGGAGTGAGTCCCTGTGTCCCTCTGCAGCCCAGGTTCAGCCTGGYTTGGGCAGTGTGCAGGCAGCCCTGGTGTGGCTGGGCAGAGCCTGGTCACAGCACTGAGCCCTGTGACCTGTGGGGTGGCCCCTGCAGCACCTTGAGGGAAAGGCAGACCTACCCAGCATGGCCAGGGTGGGTTCCTCTCCGGGTCACACTGGTGCCTGAGGCAGTGGTAGAGGAGGCAGGTGAGAAGGACGCTCAGGGGGACCAGGACCCCCAGTGCAATAGCAATGGCCCGTGCCACGCTGCTGTCTGGACCTGTGGGCAAAGCAGAATGTATTCAGTTTTGTGCTTGAAGTGAAAAAACAACCCAAAACTCATTTCAAACATCCCTTGACCATTCCCCAGGGTGGAGTGGGGTGGATAGGGGCACTGGGAGCACATGCCAGCATGATGCACACAGGTGGTGCTGCCAGCAGTGCTTGAGGTCTGATGTCAAGTCAGACATACAGAACTGAGACCCCCTGAGGTCTGATGTCGGGTCAGGTATACAGAATACAGCCCCTCTGAGGTCTGATGTCAAGATCAAGGATGCAGAACCCAGCCCCACTGAGGTGTGATGTCAGGTCAGACAGGTGGAACCCAGTTCCTCTGAGCTACCCCACGTCTTGTTGGTGTGTCAGGCTCCGTGACAGGGAAACRGGTCACAGATAGCCATAAGGACACCTGATGAGCAGTCAGGCATTCTGTGCCTGCCACTGGCCAGGGCATCTGGGTGTTCCCAGGCACCTCCTCCATCCCTCCCAACCCAGTCACAGCTGCTCTTCCAGGCATCTTCCTCACCTGCTCCCAAACCCTGAGGASTTTTCTGATCTACCCCAGGAGGTGTTTGGCAGTTTCTGCCCCCTCCAGAGCAGGGGCAGAGTTACATACTGACCCTGCTCCAGGCTGTCTGTGGGCAGGACCARGGTCACATTTAGAGAAGGGTGTTGGATCATGCAGGCGATGGGATACTCCTGAAGGATTTTTGAGTAGGTGTGTGTAAAATTGCTGATGACAGTCACGGTCTGGTTGCTGAACTTGATGTGGTATTCCCTTGGTTTCTGCTGTAGGATGCTGGGAAGGTGCCAGGTTATTTTTGGAGCTGGTTTCCCTGTTGCTGAGCAGCTCATCCCCACCATTTTCTCAGAGTTCTCAGCTTTGTCTGGACTAAGTACAAGCTTAGTTTCCACTTTGGGGTCTGAGATGGCTGTGAACAACAAARTGACAAAGTCCATTAGTTTGAGCAAACAGCATCTGTATTTAAAAYTATCTTGAAGGACAAGCTTGCTATATAATCTTACCTCCCAGTCCCAAAACCCCTGCAGTGATAAAAAAACATGGAAGTGACCAGACAGCAGTCTGGAAGTGAAGAGCTGGACAAAAGAAAGGGCAAGAGGGTAGAAGCATCTGTTTCAATTCTGTTCCTAGCAGCAGCACTGCAGCATCCTAGAAGAACTCACTTCTTTTAGAAGATTTGTGGATGTAGTCACATTTCATTTTAGTCTGCAAAAAGGATGAACTACAGGCATTGTTCATTCTTACTCACTCACATTGATTCCTATTTATACAAACTGTATTTGSAAAGAATAGATAAAGGGGAGAAGTTCAGGAAGCTGGTTTGAACCTGGATGGAACTCCAGGGGGGATTTGAACACATAAGGATCTATTGGTCCCATATGGAAAATCACCTATTTATCCTTTGACATAAAATCATACCATAACTTAGGTCAGAAGGGACTTCTGGAGATCATCTAATTCAAGCCTCTGCTCAGTTTGATTAGGTCATTTTGCTCAGGCAAGATCAATAAAGGCCTGTCATTCAATTTGGGAGTGCAATCTGTGGGTGTCTGTGTGGCAGCTCACCAGCCTGCCTTCTTCTTCAGTGTATGTGCTGATGGAATAGGGGTCCAAACCACAYTCCATTTCTAGATCTCTGCTTCTGAGAATATTACTTCTTTTAACCATTTAAGTGCAGTGGAAATTCTAGTTTCAATCTAGTCTGAGTTACCATGAATGCCCCCTGCTTAAAAAAGTATCCATTACTATATTTAGTAAAACTCTATGTGTACATTGCTAGTCACATAAGAAAAATAAGTGGCAAGTGCAATATTTATGCTAAAATTAATTTTTGTCCCAACCTCACAACATACCACTATCATTTAGTAATCCYGCTTTTAAACAAGCAAACAAAATTTCTTTTTATTCTTCTTAGGAAAAACAATGATTTTTCCTTTTGTGAGATAAACAAAGATTTGCCTGTGAGGTGTAGCAAACATGGTAAAAAGGGGAAAAGGCTTGTGCCAGGTACATAATGGCACCATAACCTCCTGGTACAATTTCAGATGCAGCTCAAGAGGTTGCCTGTATTCTCCAAGCCATAACTGCCAGAGGGTGGAAGCAAGACTTTGTATACCAACASTTTTGCTGCTTTTTGTTTGTTGTTTGATTTTTTTTACAAGCCTGATCTCATTCACTTACTATGGTCATGCCAGCCTAGAAAAAATAAGCTTCTATTTCTCATTTTTTGCATCACACTCGGACAAAAACTCAACCCCCACAGAGCTGCTGAAACATAAACAAGGAAATTGYGTAGGGGGATTTCAGCTGGAATTTCTCAAAATCTCCCAGGTATGAAAAGAGTAATGTCACAAACAATTTATGTTTCAATTAATAAATGATCTCTGAACTTCTTTCACTCATGGAATGCATAAAATAGCATATCCACYACAGCATTAACTTCAAATATTAGGTTGCAAAATTCAAAACCAATCAAAGGGAGAARTCACAAATGTTACCATAGAGGATGAGAGAAATTGCTCAAAGTCTTGCCAGAAACACAGGCACTCCACACCTGCTCTTCTGACTAAGCAGCTCTCTCTCTTCTCACAATGGACTCCAAGGAATGATCCTGTAGGGCTGAGTTTCTCTCTAGCAAATATCTGTAACAGATGCATTGTCAAAACCTGTATGTGCTTGCTTTTGCAGGAAAGCCTTGCTACACTGTTTACTAGTGTGTGCTAGCTGTTGATGTTTGATACGTACATTTAAATTAATTGCTTCTTTTGCCTTTCATAAAAATATTGTTTTCAATGCAAAAGTCCTTGCATAAGAGGTTGTGTGCAAGTACTTGGCTTTAGTCTCTTGCAGATCAGTATTGCAGATGTTCCTAAATTTGAGCTCTGTCAGCATTTCCCAAAAAGGAACTTCCTATAATGGCTTTCTGTAATCAGAGGGTGACAGTCTGGTCATGATATGCTTTTTATGTTTAAAAGCTTTTTAGTGGTGTTGTAGAGAATGAGAAAAGATTGTAGGAGTTACAGTATGCCCTGTGATGACAGAAAGCCTTTTCCAACCATATGGGTGTTCACCAGCAGCTCTGTGCCTTGGTTTCCCTCTAAGAAATGGCCATGGCGTTTTTTCCCCACTGTGCTCAAGAATTTCAGGCAAATGGTGCCATCTACTGCCAGAGAAGGCAGGCAGTCCCCAAAAGTGGTCCAGGGAATTTTTTGACTCAGCAAGTCTTGCCCATCCTCATGTGGCACATCCCCCTCTCTCCATAACTCTCCCTCAATCCTCATCCTGGATTTAATTCTCATCTTCTTTAATGATGAAGGTTGGCAAAGTATTTCCAAAGTAAACTGAAGGGGGAAAGGGAGCAGACTGTTCAAAAAAGACCCACCAAGATGTCTTGAAACTATTCTCTTCCAGGATTTTGCTACAGGGTGGGAATTTCTGCTTCTTCCTGGGTTTGCTGATTTCAGCCAGGCAGCTCTGACATCCCTCCAGTCATACCTGTTTCTTTTTTCACAGTGTTGTATCCAGTTCTTACAGGGTTTCACTTCTCCTCATCACGCGGCGATGGTGTCTATCCCGGAACAGCTGCATGTGGAAGGCTGCTGTAACTGGGCAATTACCAGCGTGTGAACTCCCTGGCAGTCCCCTCTTGGCAAGGTCAAAGACCTGGCAGCCTTTCATTTTCAGCTGGTGACTCTGGKCACCTTGCCCTGAACCCCTAAGCCTTGGGAGATTCATCCTGGCTTCCCTCTCCCTCATGGGGCACCCTTTGGGCTTGTTCATTCCCATGGTTAGGAGCTGGGAAATAAGGGAGAAAGACTGTGGCTTGTATAAATTAGCTTTGATTAAATAACCACAGATGAACTTAAATCTTCTGTCACAGTGCCAAATACTGTTTGTTCATGGTGACCCTCCACGGCAGGTTACAGGAAGATCCCTATGACCTCGATGAGGCAGCCTCTGCAGTGCCCCATGAACCCATGGGAGAAGTTAAACTCTTCTCAGCTGATGCGTTTTCATCTGAGATGCATGAAGAGCTGCTTGCATGAGTGTGTGKGTCAGCAGAAAAACATCCTTTTTTTAAAAAAAAAGTAGTGCTCTGGTGAAGAATGAACCATAGCCACAAGGCTGGTGATTTTGGGAAGGAATTCCCCCACTTGGTTAGAAAGAAACCAAGCCAAAACCAAAACTAAAATGAAATAGTTTTTTTGGAGCTACATGATAAAAAAGAATGGTATCACTCTATAAGGCACTTCCATGTTATTCTGGTAACGTATGATCAGTGTTTACCCTCTGAATGACTAAGAACTGGATTTCTTTAGGAACCTTCCTCTTCATGTAGGAAATACTGCATGATTTTCTCCTCACTTATCTGTTCTGCCCTAGAAGTTTTCCCAAAAGAGTGGAAAAAGAACATTTGCTCCAGATTTGATTTTCCCTTTCCCTTGTATTTTCCACCATCATCCTCCTTTCCCCTATTGCTTGAGTCTTTCCCCTACAAGCGAGGTGCTTCCTTTCTCCACACAAAGGACTCCAGATACAGGTGTGTGGACATAGGTGTCTGTGTCTGTGTCAGCAGAAGGTACCAGGGATAAACAAAATGCTCTGCAGGGGCTTTATCACCAGTGACAGGTCACAGACACTGATAGYCTCCACATGGGATATGATCTTTGGCCGATGTCCCTACAGCAGTCTCATCCCTGAGAAGGCCAGGAGCCAACAGGGTGCTCTCTGAGCATGTTTAATGCCTCAGCTTTCTCAGCTGGACCAAACCCAGCAGCTTTCCTCATAAGACAAGCAACTTTTCACTCTTGGGTTTTTTTTTTGTTGGTTTTTTTTTTTTTTT